GCAAAAACCTTGTTAGATTGAGCAAATTTGTTTCAGCATAAATTACGCAGAGGGTAACATTCAGTGTCTTGGTCCGTTAATTCTTGAATTTAAGGTGGTGATTTGTGAGAGCGTTATAACATAGCCACCTCGAATGTTTCTATAAAAAAGTTAAACTGTACGATATTTGTGCTAAAAGTAGTTTGCAAAAGTATTAAAAATTTTCCATCCTTTTCTCAATTTTTCGACACGTCAGATAGATTACTGGTAAACAAGCAATTTACAACCCCCCCCCCTCTCAACGATGCCAACGACAATAACTGCACAAACAAATCCTCAAAAATTTGAATCCATTCTTTTTGCTTTCTGTAACTCTAGCAAGTTGTCACAGTTGTCAGTTGTAAGTTTTGAGGTGCATTTGAATAAAAATGCAAACTACTTTCAAATCACCACTGTATCTTCTTGAGCTGATTTTCGAAGATTTTTTGAATAATTCTCTCGATGGCTCTCAGTTTCTTTGTTGAAAAATTTGTGAAACAAGCATCATATACATTAACAGTAGTATAACAGTGTGCTGCAAAAACTTAACGTCCAAAATCCCTAAAATCTTCGGAACCCGCCTATTATAATACCTTAAATTTGCAAAACAATCAAGAGCAATATTGATTGTGTACTAATCAAACATCTTCAAAGGATGCATTTCGAGAATGGCAGATTTTGATGAATAGGATTGTTTTTCAAGATAATAGGTTGTTCCGAAGGTTGGTGCCGTTTTTCTGACATATCTTCAAACGCTCAGAAGAAAGGCAGGAGTTCTAAACAATATTCAATTAGGATTTCCTCCTATTCCTAACAACTATGTTTTTATTCCGAGCAATCTAATGGTTGCCGAATTGTCGGAATCTCCAACCCACAGTTCGTAAAGTTGAAGGACCGGGAATACATCATGCGACTTGATCGCCTTGCGATTCTCCCGATAGGACAACTGTTACGGCTCACGCAGACCAACTCAAGTTGATTATGATAGTTAATAGCAACTAGTTGTGTCGGAAAACTATCACAACCGAAACACAAGATGACACCAGCATGCGTTGAGCTCATAGCAGCTGCCTTATCCAGAGAAACGCGAGGGGATGATATTGCGTGATGTATGCCTGGCCCTTAAGGCCCCGGGCAGACTTCACGCGATTTGATCGTCGCGTCTGAGGTCGGTGGTCGGTATGGTCGGTCACAATGGTCGATCGCCTCATCGTGGCGTGGGGGTGACACTGGGTATCGAACTGCGATGCACAGCCGAGTGTATACTCAGGTAGGGCCTCCCAAGCTGTGAAGGAGTTCGATGTTTCCGGTTTCGGCCGGATGCCTAGCTAAGAACCGGCCACGCCAGATCCCCCGCCGTCTGGCTTCTCCTGGTCGCTAGGCGGTCCCTCCCCGCTCCAAGCCCGGGGTCAGCGATCACCCCGTGGAAATCAAGAGTAGGCCTAGTAAGCCACCTCTTGTAGGGGAAAATTCATATCACTCCTCCAGTTAGAAGATTAGAAAGAAACCCTGCACATCGTATCCCGCCTACGGCGCCGGGTGGTAGCAAGAACGATGTCAGGGTACTCAGGGCGCCTTTCGGATTGGACAAAAACGACACGTCTGCCCGGACGAAACGCCATGGAGACTGCCTCATGCTCTGCACCTACAACGCCAGGACCAGGACAGTCTCCACAAACGCCGACCTCCACGCTCTTCTCGACGCTGCAGAGCATATCAACTACCACATCATCGCTCTGCAGGAAACAAGTCGAGGAAGAAGGACGTGTGACAGATGAGTGATGGGACCCTGATCATTCGTGGTGAAAAGGTTCCATCACGAAACGTGGGAGGCGTCGGCTTTGTCGTCCACCCATCTATCGTCCATCTTGTCGATTCGCACGAGATCCTATCACCTCGAATGGGCATCCTACGACTACGCCCTCCACGTCAGAAGACCATCAGCATCATCAACTGCTACTCGCCAACATCAGCAGCTGACGACTCAGACTAGATGCTTTCTACGAAGACGTGGAGGAGGTCGTCCGCAACGAAAAGTGTTTCTACAAGTATGTTGTGGGCAACTTCAATGCGAAAATCGGGATGCCACTAGAAAAGGAATATAGGATCGGGAAGTTTGGATATGGGCTCCAAAACGAAAACGGCAACCGTCTCGTTGGGCTTCTCTCCGCCGCACGACTCTTCCATGAAAACTCCATCTTCATGAAGAAAGAACATCGCCGGTGGACTTGGGAATCGTCCAACGGAACGACTCATGCTGAGATCGACCATATTCTCACCAACCGAAGGTGGAGCTTACTCGATGTCTCTGTAGTTCCATCCTTTTGTAGTGGCTCCGATCACCGCCTCCTTCGAGCGAAGATACGATTCAGCCGAAGGCTGGAAAAGAAAGTCTGTCATAGTGCCGCGAGAAGGAAGGAAGTCGTTTATGACGTAACAGGCTGGAAGAGCTCATATCAAGTTGTGACTAGCCCATCGAGGAGGACCCAACGTACGACTACGACCGGCTTCTGAAAGGATTGCGAGCCTGTGGAGAATGCGCCTCAGTGACTTCTGAGAAGAACTTGGAAGGCATTTCGAAGACCACCAAGGAAATGCTCGAAAGAAGAAGATTTCTGAGGCAGGACCCGAATGCAACCCACCTCGAGCGACTGATATCCAACGCCAGTTGCAGAACAGCTTTGCAAGAGGATCTCAGGAAATACAGGCAAGCCAAGATACTGGAAGCAGCCGAAAGAAGACGAAGTCTTAAAAAATGCCGAAGGGACCTCTGCGAATATCACGTACCGCTGGCTGCACTACTGAACGAAGACGGGACTCCGACTTTTTCCCGATACAAGATGGAATCTGTCGCAAAGATCTTTTACACCAACCTCTTCCGCTCATCAACACCCGTGCCGATGCCCGTTGTTCCCACTGGAGAAGTACCACCACGAATTCTACCTGCTGAAGTGGGCACAGCGATTCAGACCATGAAAACGTCCACGGCTCCAGGACCAGACCATCTTTCTGTCGAATTTCTGCGAGCTGGAGGACAACGTCTACACGAGATCCTCACGTCGCACCTAACATCTTACCTTCAGAAGGAGAAGATTCCCGACCAGTTGAGAACGTCAAGAACCGTCCTTCTCTTCAAGATGGGTGAACGGGAGGATCTTCGGAACTATCGTCCAATATGCCTGCTGAGTGTACTGTACAAGCTTTTCACGAAGATTATCATCGCTCGCATATCAAGGACGCTGGATGAAGCCCAACCCCAAGAACAAGCTGGATTTCGCAAAGGATTCAGCTCCATGGACCACATCCAGACGATTTCGAGGGTTATAGGAGTCTGCCGGGAGTACCGACTGCCTCTCGTCCTAACCTTCGTCGACTACGAGAAAGCCTTCGACAGCGTCGAAACCACGCCATCCTGTCAGCGCTAGTCGATCAAGGAGTGGACCCAGCCTACGTGAGGACACTAGCCAACTGTTACAAGGACTGTACAACAACGATACAACTGTTCCATTGCCCCCTGACCATACCAATCGGGAAGGGGGTCCGACAAGGCGACACAATTTCGCCGAAGCTGTTTACCGCGGCCTTGCAGTGGGTGGTGAAGTCACTGGACTGGGACGAGAGAGGCATACGAGTTGATGGGAGATTCCTGTCGAACCTTCGTTTTGCGGACGACATCGTTCTCTTCTCGAGCAGTATCACCGAAGCAGAGACGATGCTGAAGGAACTGAACGAAATAGGGAAGAAGATTGGACTGCGAATAAATCGGAAGAAGACTCAGTTCATGAAGAACGCTTTTTGCGAAGATGCAGAAATGGAATTGGAAGGCACCCCGATTATGGAGACGTCTTCCTACGTGTATCTCGGACGTTCGATGAACATGGAGAACGACTTGAGGGAAGAACTTAACAGGAGAAGAAGAGCAGCCTGGGCCGCCTTCGGGCCTCTGAAGGAAGCCACCGACCAACTTACGGACCCGGAGCTTCGTGCCCACCTGTTCGACTCAACCGTTCTCCCGGCGCTCTGTTACGCAGCTGAGACTTGGGCCGACACTGTAGCCACGTCGAAAGCTTTACGGACCACCCACAGAGCGCTCAAGCGCAGTCTTCTGAAGATGACCCGACGCAGGCAACATCTAGTCGGACTTCGCAGCACGGATATGAGAAGAATGTCCCGTTTTCGTGACCCAGCGGAATACGTTGCGAAAGCCAAACACCGATGGGCCGGTCACATCATGAAAAGAAGAGACGACAGATGGACACTAAGAACATCTGAGTGGATTCCTCGCGAAGCCAAAGGTCCTCGAGGAAGACCACCAACGAGATGGGCAGACGTGTTCGTGGAACGGATGGACCAGCTGAGAAATCAGCTGGATACGACTTTCGCCTTTAACTCGTGGACGCAGCCACCGACGACGGCCAAAAAGATCGTGGATGTCTGAAGCGAGGGACAGGGAAAAATGGCAACTTCTGCACTGGGGCCCGCACGTCACGTGAGGACGGGCCATCTAAGTATCTAAGTAAGTAGACTGAGCCGCGACGAGACAACTGTTACAACATCATTCCATGCCGATCAACTTGCATCCGGTTGTGATACTTTTCCAGCCCGAAATTTTTGAATGTGAAATGAATTTGAATGGAAATCTTGGCGATTAGATAGCGACGATTAAGTCGCGTGAAGTATGCTCGGGGCCTAAGGGGGATCTGTAAGATTTAGCGGAGCCATAGAGGTAAAAGTTTGTAAAAGTGCCGAGCGTTTTGTCTTCTCAAAATTCATAACTCTAGTCGAGACGTTTTGCAGCTTTTCTGCTAGCTCAAAAGGATTGGGCCAAATGTTGATATAAGTGATTGTTGGGAACACTTCCACTTCAAATTCCTGACCAATAAAACCCAAATAATTTTCAAGCATTGACCTTGGACACCGAATTTGACAAAAGTCTCTGTGCGAGAAGGCTGCTGCAAGATTTCTATACAACCACGAAAACTTTATTGAGTTCTCAAGAAAGAATTCTGGTCTACTAGCTGCAAACACAAAAGGACACAAACGCTAAAAGTCATAGCTCACAAAAACTCTGAACTTCAAAAGAAAAATGCTTGGTCGAAATGGGGATCAAAATAGATTGGATACCAGGTCTTGTCCTCTACATCCAGAACATACCATCCTTCGTTAGCGATCCAGGTATCGGTCGCATAACAGTCATCGGGAGCATTGAAGTCCCTATATACAAACGTAGGCAATCAAATTTGAGCATCGCGAAGAACATAACAAAAAGGTAAGAATGCATTTAGCTTGACAGAATTTTGAGACATATCAACGAAGTTGGGAGAAGTAGTCTCGGCTCCGTATGCCGAGTTTTGAAAGTCAGGCTGGATTTGCAAGCGCAAGTGAATTGAAATCATCAAATTGGCAAGTGTTGAGCAGGTCTAGGTGGTACGCAGTAGGTGCTTCCTATCACTCACTCTTGTGTCTTTTGAGCGTTAGAGACTGTAACGACTACTTTGATCTATAGATATATCACACTATTTGTGGTAAAAAAACTAATCCGGAATCCAGATTTTATAATTTTTTTGTGTCTCTGCAAAAAATAGAGCTCATTCGAGAAGACCACTTTGACTAGAACCATAGGTGCGATACGAAGAGCATGGTATTAGGTGAACAGGGTTTCGGCAATTCCCACTTAGAAAAAGAAGGGGATAAGTGAGTGCGGTGAATGCTTATACGCCGAGTGGGATTGAGTGTGCAGAGAGAGAAAAATGAGTGGTACCTTGATCGTATATGTTTACTTGAGCCGATCACCAAGATTATAGCACGCTTTATTCAATCAGGCTAACGTTTCGGGTTTTTTTCGTTGTTTTCGGCTCAAGTAAACATATACATATCTACATCATGCCAAGATTTATCAATAATCGAGCTTGGGGTACCTTAATCCTTTGGTTGTCATCAAACAAAGACTTTTTGATCTGAGAAAGCTTTGTGTCTGATCAATCGATCAATCCTTCGAAAGCTTGGAGGATGTATTAGGTTTTCCCAAAAGTAGAATCTTTTCTGAATAATTCAAGCCATTTTGGTGTTCCCAGTATATTTAGGGTATCATTCGATAGAGCAGATCAAGCTCTACAAAATGACCTCCAAGAGCCCACCTAAGTCGCCTTTCATGTAAAGTTTGAAGCCAAAATCTAAGAAAATTTTGTCACCTGAAAATTGGATTTTTGCTAAGAAAAGCCCTAAGAATCTCCAACTGGTCATTATACAACAGGCACATATGTATTAGTACTCATATATGTTTTTACTAGATTTTTTCCGCGCATAGAAAACAAGATAGTTTAAAAATGGCAAACTCCGCCCCCAGCCCCTCTTACGGATGCCATCGTATACTACAAGCCTTACAAAACATAAACTCAAAGTTTCACCTCTGCATGTGCTCTTATAATTGGGAAGTACCAAGTTTTACATTAAAAAAGCCGAAAAAAGTGGCATTTTGGCATTTTGGGGCATCTTGTTTCTCAATTTCAAGTCCTGGAAGAAATCCACCACATACATTTTCGGGCACTACTATATGTCTACTATATGCACCGTGTTGGAAGCCCGTAGGATCTTTCTGGAAGAAGATCCGAATTCTAGGGTAGCTGGAAAATTTTGTTTTTTGGCTCCAAATTTTACCTGGGTTATGAAATAGGTGGATCTTTGGTAATCTTTTTGTAGAGCTTGCTTCGCTCTACCGAATGGTACCCTAAACCTGTCAAAAAAGCAAAAACAGCTCAAGTTATTTGAAAATGGAGTTTACTATTGGGACAACCTGATAGAATTGACATGGACCGTCTCTTTTTTTCTAGCTGTTCTGCCAAGCGAGATATGAAGAATTTTGTCTACAGGGTACGCCAAAATTACCGGCGCCAACTTTACAAACACTGCCACCAAAAAAACATTGAAAGATACAAGCTCAAATCTGTGCCAAAGAAGACACTAATCAATCTTTACAAAATACATTTTATTAAATTCAAAAAGACCTCTTTTTAAATTCAAGAATTAAAAGAATCAAACCAGTATTTACAAGAAAGGCAAATATGAAAATTTTATATCTTCATAATTTGCTCTGTAACTGAATAAAGTCAAAGCTTTTCTAGACCACTCCAATCTGTGGTTGTAGAGCACGATTTGCACAATCACACGAGTTTAGCTGAATCTGCAAAATTTGTTCCTTCATTGAAATAGGAAAATGTATTTGCGGAAAATACCTGAGTACGAGCAATGAGCTTATGTTGAAAATCGATTATTAGGCCCAAGATATGCAAAAACTTTCAGGTAAAAACTGAGTCCTATTTGTGAGACATGTAGAAGAGCATCTACATAGAAGCGACTAGTTGAGATAGTTCTGAATCTGATTTAGAAGACATTTTTTAATCCTAAGGCGCACTCAGGAAGGCCAAAATCACGCCAATTTTCGGTATGCCGCCTCTCAACCATGTCTTTGAATAATCAAAAATTCTCTTCGAGTTGATTTTCAAATTTCCAAACCAGACTGCATCAGAGATGAAGTCTTGCTCTATTTTCCTGTGCAATTACAAAGCAGGAGAAAATGTCGTTAAAAAGATATCAAACAATTTCTCAAAGCCATGCTTGCGTACAGAGCACCTTCGGTCGGCGAGAGAAACCGAGATTTTTTCGAGAGATAAAGCAGCCAAATTCTGATTTCATTATTGCATTATGATAGTGATGGTTGGTGAAAACAAACGCATACTTGATCGCTCCTCAAGCCCTTCTAGTATCCTTCTGGCACTCAAGGAAACACGCGCCGGTAATTTTGGCGCACCCTGTAGATCCAATTAAATTTAATTTTATGAATTATTTTGTGCCTTATTCTCAAAACGAAAGTTATCTTCATGTGAACGAAAAGCTCTAAACTTGCGGAATCTAACTGCTCCCTTAATTTTCTATCATACTCTTCAGTGAAAGAACATATACCCTATTTTCCGAAGTATAAGCCGCATTTCTTTTCACTGCGCGCGGGCTAAAATGCGATGTCGTTCGCGATGCGAAGCCGCACAAGCAGCAACTACTATCTATTTCGCCTGGTAATATACGGGCTTTCTGCTTTTGTTCTTTATTTGGTTTCTTAGCAAGTGTATTTGTTTGTAACAAAATTCTCTACCTTGTCATTTATTCTTCAAGAATGCGCTGATAATAAAAAAAACGTTCGAATAATAGTAATAACATAGAATCGAAAGGTGATAAGCTCCAAACCAGTAAATCAAAATAAAAGAAAACACAACTTTAGTACCAGTAATCATTGAAAAAAGGAAAGGCAGTCACCCAGTAGTATCAAACACAACCTAAACACCCGCAAAGTCATATGAAACAGAAAAAAGTGAAGACATGACTGTCCGTACTAGAACGCACGGAGTTTTCAATTCGCTATATAGCTCTTTTCAAAGGCGCTTTCGCGCCATTGTTCGCTGCGGCGGGTGCGGCTTATATGAGGTGCGGCTTATACCCCGGAAAATAGGGTAATTCGATTTTTCTCAGTGAACATTCTCATTTTTCTCAGCATTGGGCACAGCAAACCTTCTACTCTTGCATCCTGCGACAATATATATGCACTAAACATTGCTGCTTAATCAAAAAACCAAACATCCTCTAAATTTTTAATATTTCGCTATCAAAACTAAACCACTCTGAGTGAGACACCAAGTCTCAGTGCGTTTTTTTCTGTAAACGCTGTAAACGTATAGTGTCATGCACTAGCTGAAAAAAGCAGCGGCTGATGGTCCTAAACAAAATGTGCACCATTTATTATAGGTGCTTTTTTCTACCGTTATGCCTGACCTTATTCCCAGTTTCAAATAGAGGGATCATCCGGATGCCGGCTCGAAAGTGAAGAAGCAGAAAAACTGCTCCAAATATCGCATTCATGTTTTAGTCAAAAGATACTTCTTGTCATTGAATTTCACAAAGAAATGGTCGAAAAGAGCGCTGATTGCAACAAGCCTGCTTGACAATCTTACCATCTCATACTGATATTTTAGATAATTAGCACAGCTAAGAACTCATCTCACTTACAGCAAGGTTGCAATGAATGTACCGTTTGGTAGCCACAGTTTCACGTCAATATGTCCGATTCGGAATGGGTTTTTGGAGTACATTTCCGAGAAATCAGAGCCTGTTCCTGTTGGAGGAGAGTAGCGGCAGTTTTTTTCAGATTTTGTGCCAAAATATGCGACTGGATTTTCATTCGCTCGTTTGGGGCCAACCCTCGCCACTAGCAATGCAACAGTGACAATCCGTCCTTCCCACTTCCAATTGACGGGCCAGCCGTGATACACGTTTGTTCCATTGAAATACTGCCTATCGCAAGCATGATCACATCTTCTGGCCGTGTTCATCCTAGTGCTTTCCTCGATTTGAATAACACAAATATCTGTAACTCGAAGGTCATCTCCAACCTCAGCGTTGGTACATCTTCTGTCTGTTGCTGCTGTTATCTGAAAATTATTTACAATGTATCTCTGCTAAATACCATAACGTATCATCTTTGTGAATTTTCAGGTAGGCTTGCAAAAAACGCGAAAGTTTTTTGAACCTAGGCATTTCGTGATGCTCTTTTCAAGTATCTATATGTGGAGATGTAAGTGAAAGGAAAACCTCAAAATCAGGGTCAAGCGAGGGGGTGTGGCATGCCACTCATGGATGTCGTATTGAGAGGTGAGGAGGGAAGGGTTCGTTATCGAGGTGAGCTGATGTTAGCGATAACATGATATTCGTTAACAATGTCAGTTACGCACTGTGTAAAGTACGCACATTGATGATTTGGCCTACCATCGTATACGTACAGGAAGCGCATGAAGAGCACTATAAGCATAACAGCATCATTTTCGTAAACAGAATGTAAAATAACCCATTTGGGCCAAGTTTCAACGAATTCTGAGGTTTCCAAATATAGGGCCATCCAAGGTAAGATAGTCATTTTCAAACAAGCCACCTTCATTTTAAAAATGAGTTAACTACTACTTTCTGCGCTTAATACAAATAAATACTACTTCCTTGCTCACATTACGAATCTCACTTCGAATAGCTTCCAAACTGTGGATTTACGAGCAGCCGAAATCTCGTTTGTTCCATTTGCCGCTATCAATATCTCAATAGAGAAGACCAGTAAGGCTCAATCACTTTTATGTAACTTATGAAGCTTAGTCTATCAAATATATTTATTCTTGTCGCTTTCTTTCGCGATTTACATAGAGCGCAGACTAGAAGTGTTACCGTAACCCAATATTTTCGAGCGTTTTCCATTTGTATAGGTAAGAGAAAACGGCTATATCTTTTCCTGAAAGAAACGATTTCAAATTTTCTGCGGTGTAAAGAAGAAGGTTGAGCAAGAGCAACGATATAAAAAACGCAGATATTTGAATGGCTTGAAGGTAAGTTAATGGGGTGTAGCACAACCGCTAAGAAGCTGTGGTAGCCACAGCTTTTTAGGGGTTGTACCACACCCATTAACTTACGTTCAAAGAGAGTTTTGGGAAACGAATTATACACAGTTCGATAGCATAAATTTCTTAAGTTGTAGAAGTGATTGAAGCCAAATTTGTTTTCTTTCGTTTGAGTCATACTTGCTGGAAGCACAACCACTGCATGCAAAAATTGGGACAAACGAGACTTTGATGGCTGGCTCTAATTTTATAGTTTATGGTTATTTGAAGCATGATTCATGGTATTGGCAAATAGGCAGTAGCGCTTCGTAATGACTACAAGAAGAGGTTGCTAATTTGCTTTTGAAATATAGTTAATCAAGTTTGGAAATGGCCACTTCACTTATGTGGCCCAATATTGGGAAACCCTAGCATTCGCTGAAAGTTGTCCCACAGGGATTTTTGACATGATAATCACAAAGTTACTAATTATGCTTGATAAAGCTTTTATGTCATGCCTACGGCAACAAACGAAAATGGGGGGGGGGCATCGTACACGGAGGTTGTGTGCCATACCTCTTGTTCGATCACCCTGCTCATAATTATAATGCCCAAAAGTAGCCATGTGATTGCCACACAGAAGGTCCGATAGCGAGTAGCACCAATCATGCTGATCACCGCTTCAGAAGTTATTTTTGGCTTTTTTATACTTTCACTAACAAAGACTAGTCATGTTTAACATTGCAAAACCGATTGATGTGCGGTAGAAAGCAACAAATCTTATTCCGACTTTTGCGACATCTGATCACCTTCCTTTACCGGCTAACAAAAATCTAATATATAAAGAAACGTAAGCGCAATTCAAATGTGCAAATAGCGGGACAGCGTGGCGGTCCCAGCGCGCGCTGATGCAATCTAGGGCCTTTAATCAGTGGTTCACCAGTCAATTACTACGAAAAATAAATAAGGCTGGTCCGGTCATTGCATATAAGGATATAAGGAGTGTAAAGAAAAGAAAACTTAGAAATTTTCTGGATTTTAAATAACAGCTTGGAGTTCAGGAAAAAACACCCTTTGAAACTTGAGCACCATCACTGAAACTGTCGCGGCTCGCGATCGATTGCTCCTCAACGGATGGTGAGCACCGTAATGCCGCGCAGTTCGGTCGTGGGCACGGTGGCGGCGTTTTACCGTCTGTTACTCTGTTCCCTTTTGGAGCACGCAGACACGCCCCCAGCCTCTGCTAAACAGCGTACGCGCCCGCTACTTCTTTACTTCTGACTTTGTTCGTATTGCTCATGTTATTGATCAGATGGGCCTTTGTGACATCGGCATATTACCTGCTTTTCCACGTCTTGCACGAGTGTTTGATGGACGCGCAAGTATGTGACGTGTTGAGCATCTAGGCATGGACTCGCAGGACATGTTGTGGAACCCGGTGATAAGATGTTGGATAATATCAGCGGGGTCTTTGTCAGCTGCGCCGCCGTTATTGTCTTAATGGCAAACGCCTGTGGATGTGGACCTGTGTATCAGCTCCCCTGTAAGTTGGGAGAGCGTGAATGTGTGTTGGAGAAGAGAGAGTAAGTAATAAGTAGTGCCCTCAACAGCACGAGCGAGTGACTCGCCCCGTGACATTGTCGTCATTAGTATATAATGTAGTTTGTCATATTCTTTAATAAATGTTTACACTAGCGACCCTACGGGTCGATAGCAAGTGAGTCGAGGCAGATACATTATAAGGGCTTAGTTGTGACTATAAATATTTCTAAATAAGTTTCCTATTCCTTTCCTGTGAACATTTTTGCGAAGAGCATTCCACAAAAGGAGAATTGCTCGAAGAAGCGATAATCTTCACAAATCGTTCAGCATTTCTCGAAATTCCTGCTACAAGCATGCATGGAGAATATTATTTTTCTCCCGTTTACCACGCTCTTTCTGCAAATTTCTTCCCCTTCCCACAGAGACATTCAGATGCCCCCCCTCCCACTTTTCTACGCTCTCAAAGAGAATTTGCCCTTCCAGTTCTTCTCAACAAGTTCCATAAAAAATCGTTAAGTAAGTAGCAGAACTCCTATCGTTTTGGAAGTAGAAATACACCCTTGACAATTATGTGTACTACAAAAGCACTTTTCTCTCAGAATCAAACCCGACAGCAACGAAATCAATCGTCTAGGAACTTTTTCAGAGGGTCCTTCAACATTTTCGCCAAAAGAATATGAAGCCTTACTACAAAAGGAGATCCCTCCCCGAAAAGCACGACTACTGAGCCACCTTAAGATCGTCAATTATAAGAACTGCCCTAAACGTACAAAAATCTGTTTCCCTGCCCGAACGAGTTGCCCTACGTGCCGCTTACATACCGATAGTAACTATTCAAAAGAAAGTTTATGCCCTATGTGCCGCTTGAAGACTTTATATATTAGGTTGAACCGAAAGTTCGTTCGCACCATTTTCAAAAAATCATAACTTCTTTCTATCTAAGGCATGTATTTTCCAGAAGTCCTCTGAGGACTTTCTAACATGCTCAGGTTGCAGAGATAAAAATGTAGGAACGAGATCATCCGAAATTCGGAATTTTTGAGCAAAAATTTCAAGAATCTAAAACTGTGCGATAACATCCAGAGCAGCCATCATTTTAAGTTTTCTTATATTTTATCATTAACTGAGTTAAGTTTTTGCTGATCCAGCTCTTCTTTCAAAAGTTATGGGTTTTTTCTAAATGTCAAAAATTCAATTCCCTAAGATTTGTTTGGATATTGATTTTTCGGCATTTAAAAAAAAATCATAACTTCTGAAAGAAGAGCTCGATTAGCACAAACTTGACTCAGTTAGTAATATTAGGTCTCCCAAAAGTATTTTCGCTTTTTGTGAACAAGCGCCACAATCCGCAGAACAAAGGTCAACAGAAGCTCTTAATAGAACGGTGCAGTTTTTTATTCTCTTTCAAGAGGTCATTTTTGTTTAGCAGTTGAAACAATGCTATCAAAAAATTGCGATAAACTGCGACCCATGCTTTTTACCAAGGTCAATCCACTATTTTTCTAAATTCTTACTGATCCCCCGAAGAAGTCCAAGTAACCAGCGGATAGAGCAAAGAAAGTAGGATACAAAACAGGTTTCAATCTCCTTCCCAGGGCTCCCCATAACTTTTTGACAGAATTTTGAACAACACCATCGAATTTTAGAAGTTCCATACCAAACGCAGACTCGCCAAACTTCACTAAACTCTCGATTTTTGATACTTTTAAACTGGATTAGGATTTAGCACTAATTGTGCGAAACAACTGAGCGTTCCGGGGGTTCGAAATATCTAATTTCTAATTTGTCGCGCACAGCCTGGGGTTTCTTGAAAAACATGAATTTTGTCGATTTTATCCTCGAAGACTTCTCGAATCAGGGACAAAAACATGTCTAATTGTAAGAAAGAGGAGAAAGTGCTGCGTCGAATAACACCCGAATTGCTCGCCGGCTATTGTTCTATGATGTTTAAGTTGACCAAATATAGAATTTGATAGCATTGAAAAACTAATTTTAAAAATTTTTCAGAGTAAGCTATAGAACGGACAAAAATTGTATTGCATCCTACTTTGTTTGCTCTATCGACAGGTCACTTGGACTTCTTCGGGAAATCAGCACAAGAAAAATAGCTGAACCTGACCTTGGTAAAAAGCATGAGTTGCAGTTTGTAGCAATTTTCTGAGAGCTCGTTGCATCGTCTGCATTATAGAGATGACCATCAGAAAGAGCGTGAAAAACTGCATCAAATGCTACCAAGAGCTCCTGTATATTTTTGTTCTGCGGACTGTGGCGCTTTTTCAAAAAAAGCGAAAATACTTTTGGGACGACCTAATACAAGAAAACTTAGGAAGACAATTGTGCTAAATGTTCCCGCACAGTTTATAAATTTTCAAAATTTTTGCTCAGAAGTTCCGATTTCGGATGATCTCGTTCTTTCAACTTTATCTCTGCAACCTGAGCGTGTTGGAAAGCCCTAGGGACATTTGGAAACCACATTCTTTACGCTTTCTAATAAAATTTAAATTGCGCAAAATTGTTGTGACAGAAAGAAG